TCCCTTTCCCCTCGACCTCCATGTATCCTAACCCACAATACCTCAATTTTCTCCTCCTCTGATTCCATTTTGATTAGGGTAGGTGTATAATGTTTCTTTACATAAAGAGCAACTCCTTTCCTCCCTACTCTGTCCCTTCTGTACAACCTGTAGCCCTCAATGTGTACTGCCTAGTCATGGGTAGGGTCACACTCTAGTTGATTCCCAGCCTGTCCTGGTGCATGGGATCATTCTGTCCTCCTACAGAACCTGCTGACAATCTTCTGAGGCCATCAGAAGCCAAGCAAGGCTGAGAGGACTAATGTGCAGCATATTTGATGTTGCAATGTGTAAGACACAGAGGAAACTCTGTCTCTAACACATGGGCAACTGTTTTGGCTGGCAGACCGCTTAACAAGTTTTGGTGAGCTGTTGAGGGCTGCACACATACAATCTTCCAGAAGGTATCATTTTTACATAATATTTATAAAAAAACCCAAATCATATACTAAAAATCAAGCATCCCCTAAATATACACTATGCAAAAACACATAGAACAGGACAAAATTATTTTTTTAAATAAAATTAAAATGTTAAAGTAGATGCTTGATTTTTGTATATAGAGGTGGTTGCATACTGGCTCAAAATAAAGTGTTATTCTTGTACATTGGGGTGTGAGGAGGCTTGGGCAGGTGTGGGGTGTGCACGTGTGTGTGGGAACCAGTGCAGAAAGGGCAGGAGGAGGAGAAGCCACTGGATGCAGAGGAAGCTGAGCAGTACCCAGGAGTAGCCCCGCTGGGAAGCTGTGCATGCTGGCCAGGGCCAGGGCTGTCAGCTGGCATGGGTGGGAGTGTGGCACAGGCTGCCCTGGGTGGAAGCAGGCAGGGCCTAGTCCCATGAGGAGTGGTGCAGTTGGCAGGCTGGATCCAGCCCATGGGCCATATTTTGCCCACCATGCATCTAGACTTACCCCCACTGAAGATGCCAGATGTTTCAGGTGAAGTTTTGGTGGGTGTAGAGACAAATCTTTTCCCTTTCTGGTACTTGTGGAAGGACTCCATTACCCTCCAGTTGCAGTATCTGAAAGGGAAATGTTAAGACAAATGCAGCACATTAACAATCAAACCCTTAATTTTTATGAGGATTGTGGCTGGAAATAGCATCCCATCTGCACTCATGGTTTCTTTGGAAGGAGGGAGAGACAGAGTCTGGCAATAACACAGCTTCCCCTAAACCAAGAGAGAGGCATATTTACCTTCTCCAGAAGTATATCAGGACTGGGAACACAGTAAATATGACCCCATGATAGAGGCTGCGATCCACTGTTGCCTTGGAAGTTAAGTTTCGGATGTAGTCTCTCTGTCCCTCGGTTATGTTCACCTAGCCACAGAACAGAGGCTATATCACAAGTGTGGTTTGACATATGGGCAGCAGCCCTACTGAACACACACACTGTCCTGCTGCCTGCCCTACTAGTATCCCATCTACACTCATGGTTTCTTTGGAAGGAGGGAGAGACAGTCTGGCAATAACACAGCTTCCCCTAAACCAAGAGAGAAGCTGGAATCTGAATCTGCTGTCAACTTAAGAAACACTGCTATAACTCAGAGGTGTCCAGGGAGCATGCTTGTCTATTTCCTGGCTAAGCAGCCAAAAACCGAAGGAAGTCCATGTCTATCCCTTTCATCTAGTCCCACCACCCTGAAAATCCCTGGACATAAGGATAAACAAAACAGCGGCACACCACGGGTTGGATATCAGTGACCTCTAGGGGGCACAGACTGAAAGGATCTCCTCCATTGACTGCAGTGGCAGCTTCTGTGCTTCTACCCAGGCTTGAAGGAGTGTGGCGGTTGCTCAGTTTCCATTGGCATTCAGTCCTCGCTCTTTCTGGATTGCCAGTGAGGATCAGCTGTGACAGCAGTTTTTCATGATGACGGGCTTCTGTCCACTAAAACCTGAACTAATGCCACTACCTGATTTCAGACCATGTCATGAACCAGTCTTCAGAACTGGAGTAGGTTTTGCTAGAGCAGATTCAATCCTATTCCTCATTCCACTTGTCAGACAGATCCCAATCTAAAAGGTTCCTAAATCTTCTCGGTGGTAAGCATGGTGTACATATTCCAGCATCCTACCCGCAGCTTAGGGGGCACCTCTGAGTGCAGGAAGACTTTAGCGATCATGACTGCTTTGCTCTTTAAAAAGGCAGCTTCTTTTTCGGAGTACATTCCGCAGGTGGCTAGTGCTGCAGCTGAATCAGACAGCTTACAAAACCTACAATGGAAAACTGTTAAGTATTTTATTTTACGTTTCTTTGGAGTAGAGACAAGGACCAAGATCTCATCCCTTCCAGCTAAGTGGCCTAGCAATTAGAATAAATGGTAATACTCACTCTCTGGCCCAATGGATATATTAGTCCATGAAAAGTGGAGCTACAAAGAGGAGCACTCCCACCCCAGAAAAACCTACTGTTTGATGGCCAGGGCTGAGCTAGTGGAGCAGAGGAGGCTTACTTGTCAATCTCCAGGAAGAACCAAAGGTCATTGACTAGGAAGCTGACAGTAATTAGTCGGTTTAAGACGCGGCGCTTTATGACTGCCACTTCAGCATCCTCTCCTGTGCTGGCGGTAGGCATGTTCTGGCGGGGGCTAGACCCTACAAAGTTAGTGCGTATGGAGCTGGAGGGCAGATCTGAGAAAGCAAAATGGAAGATGCAATGAAATCTTCTCTGTTGGTGTCCTGGAATTGCTATCTAAGGTATGAGGCACACAGTGAGTTTTAAACACTATGGGATGTTTTCCAGCATCACATTTTCCAGCATCTTATATACAAAATTGCAGCTTTAAATAATTTATCTTGCTTGAACCAGGAGTGGTTGCATTTGGGCTGGAACCAGGAGTGTGTGGGCTGGAAATAAGAGTGAGAATCAAATCCACTGGTGCAGATGTCACTGGCCTTGCTGTTTCTTTCTGTTACGCACATATGGTGTCTGCCTACCAGCTTACCCCAAGACCTTAAAAATATTTATGACAATACCAACCTGTATCCTACCCCCTACCCCACCTAAAGTATTCTTTCCTATATATGTTAAGGCACTACACCAAGGCATTACATGAAAAGGATTTATGTTAGTGCTACAGGTAAGTCACCATATGGTAGATGTTAATGTCTGTAGCCAGGGGCTAAGGGCATGTTGACACAGCCTCTGACTGCTAGGGCGCACTGCCACAAAACTGCTCATCCTTTTGCTTCCATTCCATATGTGCCAAATACTGAAAAATGTACAGCAAATGTAATGAGAGAAGCTCTGGATTGTGCCACAAAGCATGCCTGGGAAAGAGCACTGTGATGGGTGCACACCAAACAGGCCTCATGGCATTCTTTGCCATTTGGCATGTGCAGAGCAGGAACAAGTGGCTGGGAGAGAGGGGGGGGGAGGCTTTCATGGTTGTGCTCCCTAGCAAGATCAGAGGCTG